GGGGCCAATAAGGGGAGGGTGGCCCCCACGAGGGGCAAGGGCGTGGTAGCTCCATCCAGGGACCCCTCGAGGTCTCTAAAGTACCCCCACCGCCGGCCTAAGCACCTGTTTCATTGTTGTTTTTTAAAAGAAACTTGGCCCTGGCCCAGCTCAGCTGGTTGGAGCGTCCTCTGGGACACCAGAGAAGTTGCCTGTTGGATTCGGGTCAGGGCACATGCCTAGTTCGGGCGTGTGCAATCTCTCTCTCTCTCTCTCTCTCTCTCTCTCTCTCTCTCTCTCTCTCTCTCTCGCCCCCACAAAACCGTTGTCTTCTAAAAGCTGACCAGCCTGCACCCTACCGTTAGGTACACTGAATTTAAGAGGCATTATCACCGGGTCCCATGCACAGGTGGCTCACTGAGGTCCGCAAAGGGAAAACTGGCTGGAACCTGCAATAGGCGGCATCACCGACCTGGAGATTGGGGGTTGGGGGTGAGAATGAAAGAAGGCGCGCACTAGTCCAGTCCCCAGGCCTCCCCGGCCCAGAGCAGCGGCGTCTCAACCTTTCCGGAGATTAGGCGCAGGGAAGGGGTTTACATCTCATTTACCTGTTTGGCCCCGCCCCCCGGGGAACTTGGCTCACCACCTCTCGCTCAGGTGGCGCCAGAGGCAAAACCCAGAGGTTCGTGGCGCCCAGAGAGCTCCTGTCCTCGCGGGACCTGCCAGATAGGACCTGGCCTTCGTGTCATTTTTCAGAGGAAAGAAAGGAGGCTTAGAGACGGCGGTGACTGTCCGAGTCATACAGCCAGGAAGGAGTTCCAGACTGGAGTTTTGATTTTTTTATTTCTCTACTAGAATTCGTGCAAGGGGCTCGGCCGGCCCTCGCAGCCCCGGCTTTGTCCGGAAGGTCGTCCGGGCTGTCTTTCTGCTGTTCGATCTAATTAACATATTAGCTCTTTACTATATAGGATTCTGTTGTCTCTCCGGGAACACTCGGGACCCCGGCATCCATGGCACCAAGTGTTGAAATGCTTCCCGTATAAACGATAAAGGGTTGTTGTAGTCTTGCATATTAAATACACGGACACCTCATTTCCCCCCTTTTATTGAGTTTATTGGGGTGACACTGCTTAACAAAACTATACAGGTTTCAGGTGCACAATTCCACAGCATGGACATCTCAGTTCATGGAAGATGGGCTAAGCGTCCTCAGCACGATTATTCGATTTGATTTGCATTTTCCCGTGTTGGGACCAGTAACGATCCCACCTCACCCAGGTCTTAAAAATATTTCTGGAGACCCGGACCGAAGGCTCAGACACGCGCCTCTGGAGGACAGGACAGGCCCTGGGTCCGCCCCCTTTTGGGAGAGGGTATCTCACAGCCAGATCTCCGTCCCGCCCTTCACCTGCGGGGGTGTGTGTGTTGGGGGGGGGGCAGGATCAGAACAGACTCCTCCAGTTCCCACCCGGGGCCTCAGAACGACCCGTCTCGGCCCTGGCCGGCCTGGGTCAGTGGGTAGAGCATCTGCCCATGAAGGACCTCGGGTTTGACTCCTGGTCACGGGCAAGTACCTGGGATGCAGGCGCGTGCGGGAGGCTACCAGTCAATTTGCCTCACATCCACGTTTTTTTCTCTCTTTCTCCCCTCCCTCCCTTTCACTCGCTCTATTTAAAAAAATCAATGGAAAAAATGTCCTGGGGTGAGGATTAACAACATCAGGCCCTTCCCACTCCCCATGGGCCTTGCCCGCCATCTGGAGAACTCCCCCTACACTCCCCCGCCTCCCTGCTAAGGCCTCCTGCTGGGGCCCCACCTCCAGGCCAGAACTCAGAATGCCCCCCCCTCGGACCCTGTGGGGCCCGTCTCTGATTCCACCTTGGGGAGCTGAGAGTAGCCCCCGGCCCCACCCACCACCGGGTAAGGGGTGAGGGGTGAGGGCGCCCCATAGACCTGCCCCACCAGGGGGTCAGAACAACCCCCCATCCCACCCGGCCTCCTCGGAGGTGTCATTACAGACCCCCCTCTGGTCCC